TTCATTTGTTTTGATAACGCGTCAGAATGAAAGGGCTGTCAATCGGAAGAGTGTGTCATTGTTTTAGAGGCACTTTATATGAATATAGGAGAAAATATAGCGCTTTGTTAAGATGTTTGGGTAGATTTATTTACTTCTCTGCCATCTTGATGCGGCGCTAGCTTGTCAGTTGTTTTGAATTGCGCGCTCAAAGTGTTACCAACCGCAAGGGAAATAAACTCCACCCTCGACTTGTGCATAAGTTATCTCTTTCCGAGATTGTTGGTGGGAATATTGCTTTTAAAACCCAAGTATGTATATTTCGTGTTTTTGATTTTTATGCTCATCAAGGACTGTTATGGAGTTTGAAAAATGTCCTTGCTGTAAGAGTTTGAAAACATAAGATGCACTTACAGAACTACAATAACAAGTACCGAAACCATTCCTTAACCTGTGAAAAAAATGAAGGCATTTTTTCACGCATTCACTAGGATTCATAACGGAACGTCCTTCCCAATTGAGTTCAAGGTTCTTCATATCAGTTTTTTTTCCTACATCAAGACTTTTCTATCTAACCCTTATCATTTAGCTTTCCCAGCCTCGTACCCAGCTAGCTACTCAACAGCTGCGACAGAAAAAAGGAAGAACCAGACGGACAGCTTGTTCATTGGTGGGAAGTCCCTGTGGAAAAAAATTGCTTGTAACCTGATACCAAACATGTATCTGTGCTTTTATTGTACTTATGGTCGGGATCTTGCCTATATCTGGAGAATGGCCGAATTAATTAATTAAGTCTGGTGTCATTAGGTCTTAATGATAACAAAAGCATATTTTAGTCGTATTCTCGGTCGTTCACACTTTATGGATCAAAGAAACGGATTGCAAGAAATATTGATATCAACCCATATCATATGAAGCTAACAATTAGAAAGCATGAATTGTTAAGGATTTATTTATTTATTTAAGTTAACAATCTTTATCTGTATCGAAACAGCGTACCGTACTTTGTTCAGTTTCACATCATATTTGAATGATTACCTGTATTACTTTTGCTGGATTTGAGACACCTCCTACTTTAAGGTCCCTCCCAAGCCAGAGGATTTCAATAGTACTGACAAATCAAGACCTGGTTACAATGAAGAGAGCTCTATGTGTGTATGCCCGAACCACTTTGATGCTTCAAATGCAGGTCATGCGTGTAACGTGAGTTTTTTAAGACCATAGAGTGAGCATTGTAAATCATGTCAAGAAATGAAGGGTCATTTTGAAGAGCTAAACTAAGATATAATTTCATTAAAAAAGACAGGAAGTAATTGTTCCTTCTTCACATAAAAAATGGGAAAGCTGTTCTCATCAATTCCCTTTTCAATTTCAATAGTCTTGATAATAAGGTTACAGTATAGGATAAAGGCTAGATTTGTGTAAGTACAATAACCATTATTTCCAGGTTGGGGAAACAGAAATTAAAACTCATTAAGGTAGTCAGACATGGAGTGTAAAGGGTATTTATCTAGTAAAAGTTTGTTTTGTTGCGTGTCCATGGTATTGAAAGGCTCGTGGATGTGAAGCAAGTACACTTGTAAAGGGGTCGTGTATGTGAAGTAAGAGCATATGTGAATGGCTCGTGGATGTGAAGCAAGGTCATCTGTGAATGGCTCGTTGATCATCGTGAGTCTCTATCTACCAGTTGATGTAAAGTAGTTATAATGGTAATGATGATAATGTTAATGATAATATCAATAACAATGATTATGATGATTATGATGATGGTAATAATAACAATATTGATAATAATAGTAATAATAACAATAATAATGATAACAATAATAATGTTAATAATGAAGATAATATTAATGGAAATTATAAAAATAATCATAAAAGTAATAATATTGATAATAATAATCGTGATGATAATGATACTGATAATAACAGTATTGAAAATGGTAATGATAATGATAATAACAATAATAGTAAAAAAAACTATGATAATAATTGTAATGAGAATAACAGTAATAATAACAATAAAAATGATGATAGTGATGATAGTAATAATAATCATCACAATGATTATAATAATTACAATATGAATGATAAGATAATGATAACGATGATGCTGATGATATTGATAATAATGATAATAGGTATATAAGTGATAGTAATAATTCTTATAATATAAATGGTAATAGTAATAATATCAGTAATTATAACAATAACGAGGATAATGTCCTAGGCATGACGTTGAACTGCAACTGATTGTGGAGTTTCGACAAGGGACACTGAGGTCACCCTTTACCGCAACCACCTCCAGGTCACCCTTGAGCAAGGCGTCATACCCGCTAGTCTCATGGGAGGGAGAGTCTCTTTAGTCTTGGTCGACAGCCCTCCTGAAGATGGTATCTCGATGAGAATACCGGTGGTTGTGGCGCCTTATCACTACTAAACCTCAAATGAGTAATGAATTTGAATGATAAAGAAGATAACGGCGAGAATGAGACTGTAACCGCAGGTGAAGGCCTCTCATCCGGCAGGTGTGGTTCAGAAGCGCAGACCCAGTCGCCATTAAAAGACAGTCAGACTGAAATGGAGTAAAGAAGTGAATGAAGTTGTGGTGGAATGCAACAAAAGCAACCCAGTCGATGAAAATGGAATACCGATTCGAGGATATAGACAGAGAGTGTTTAGAGAGTGGCAGGAAAGAGGCTCTTGTGTCAACAATGCAACGAATAATGTGACCGAGTATATACCCAGGCAAGAGCTGTAAGGAAAAGTGGATGGTTGACAGATATTTAACTGGAAGGGATAGTAAGAAGCATGGAAAGAATAGAAAGGAGAGAGGAAAGAACAGACGACACTGGTGGAAAAAGTGACCTAGTTCTGGAACAATACCAGGATAATGCTGGTGAAAAGGGAGCTGACTTAGCATTAGACGTTAACGTAAACTTAATGAACGAGGAGGAAAAGGAAATTGTGAATAGGATCTTGGACATATTGAACAGGAGAGAAATAGAGATGGAAATTTAAAAAAAAAGTAGAATTAATAGATTTTACCCCAAAAGTTAATCATATAAAATTTATACCATCTAAAAACACCACGGTGATAAACATGATTAAAGTGAGCGCTATCTATGTAGGCGACAAAATGGGTATGACGAATACGAAATGGTGTTAAACCTAAGGTGGAAGCGAAGGATAAACGACAGTGAACGAATACGAAAGGGCAGTAATACGCGGTAGATAGAGCAGAAAGAAGGCAGAACACAACAGAGAGTAAATCTGAAAAAATGCAAATGCAAATGAAAAGAATTAGTCACTATTATCAAGAAACAAGCAACGGCTTTTGGCAAAGGCGGGTAAATTGAAACGGTATGAGGAATGAATTAAACAATACATTCAGAACAAACTATGTCTATGAAGAACTGAATTATACCAGACGCAGAAGACAGTAAAGCATTTTGGAACGGTGTGTAGGGGAGGCAAGGAGAGAGCAGGTAACAGGTTAAAAAAGCCAAATTGGAAAGCACCAGGGCGAGATGGAGGGCAGAAGTACTAATTGGAAAAGAGGATCTACCCGAGTGGATGACATACAGAAGAACCATCTTTTGTTTAAAAGATCCCGCAAAAGGGAATGCAATTGATAACTTTAGACCAATTTCCTGGTTACCTCTAATGTAGAAATAAGCCTTTGATAGGCGTTAAAGCGGAAAAGATGTACGTACACCTAGAGAATGAAGTATCAACTTATAATTGATAAAACCATTGTAGAGTTACGTATTTTTCGTTCCACGAACGCGCCCGGATTCGCAGATTCACATATGCGAACGGGTGGTAATGTTGCCCTGTTGGGGTGTTTACTTTTATTTTTAATGCCCTTGATAACGCCCTTCCTCAAGCCCTCGTACATTATCTTAAACACCCCAACTCCAGGAGAATATATAGTAAGTTTTGGGTCAGACAGCTCATTTGTCCACACTCAAACCCCTCTTTAAGTCTGGGTAGTTAGCAACCACTTGCTCTGACCCACAGGGGAGTCGCTACAGATGGCAGTTGGCGGGTAACCTTGACTATTGAGAGGTGTGAGTGTGGGCTGGGAAAGACTCCAGATTCTTTTTCTCGTGTATTGTGATAATATACTGTGATACTATCTGTTTTAACCCATGATTTTCCTGCGTCTGATCTGTGATTTTCGAGGCTGTAGTAGCAGTTGCAAGTTCGTAAATACAGCCATTTACATGAAGTTTTGTATCTCCACTCCTGTAGGAGGTAGTAAATGGCCTGGCTTTTCCCCATGCCCATACCCATGTCCAAGACTGTTGAGTATTTTTCTTGCACGGGGAATATTACATTTTTTCATGCGCGGAAAACATCATTTTGTTTACATTTGCGCTGACGGATCTGTGGATAGATGATGAAACAAATGTCTGCAATCTCTCTCCTGTCTGACGAGACATGTCCTTTTATGTGGCAGCTCCCTTGGGCAGGTACTCGCACCTTCCTGCAGAAATGAAAGCAGTGGCGACATCTGCGTCCACTCAAGGAGAAACTTGTGTGTGTGTGTGTGTGCATGTGTGTGTGTGTGTGCATGTGTGTGTAAATGTGTATATGCATACACATGCGTGAGTGAGCGTGTGTATAGACACACGTGTGTGTACTTGCATATATATATATATATATATATATATATATATATATATATATATATATATATATATATATATATATATATATGTATATATATATATATATATATATATATATATATATATATATATATATATGTGTGTGTGTGTGTGTGTGTGTGTGTGTGTGTGTATGCATATATGTATGTATATATGTATATATGTGTGTGGGTATATATGTATATACATAATATATATGCATATATATGTATAACTATGCACCTTCGTTACTTTGCCCTTGCCCACATGTCCAAATTTATTTTCTTTCAGTCTCTAAATCATAATGCGAAATTGCTAAGCCAAATTGAGGAAAGTAAACTTTACACTAAAGATAAAGAATTTAAT